ATTTGTGGGAGACATGGGGAATAAAAAGCCAGAATGAAAGTCCTTACTTCATAAGTTGTGGGGTATTAAATAACATAGTAGACCTGAAGTCACAAAGACTCACAATGGGGCCCACCTGTAGGCAGTGACAGTCCTAGCTGGGGGGGCCAATGGGAGGAAAGGTCAAGGAGAACTCAACTGGGAACGAGAAGCTGTATTCTTACTGCCCTAATTTCGAAGTAGATAAAACTACAACAGTGATGAATGAATGAATGAATGAATGAATGAATGAATGAATGAATGTTGGGGATATAAAAGAAACTCATTTAACTTCTTGACAATTTAAGTTTCTATGTACAATGAAGGGTTCTGAATGACCATGAATGTCCTTTCCAGCTCCTTAACTCCTTCTCATCCCTCTACATCCAGAGAGGCACCAGTCAGCAAGATATAATTTCTGGGACATATGACTATTTCTTCCTTTTCCCTCCTGCTGCTCTACTTCAAGCCATACTTATCATGATTTCTGTTTCAATTAGCCTCTTTCTAATCCAGTACTAATCTGGGATCATGTTAAGTCATGATCCAAAAGCTTTCTGCAATTTCCTACAGAGTGCCCTCATGATGGCATTCAAGGTCATTCACAATGTGGTTCCAACTTCTCTTGAGCTTCATCTCCCACATCTAGTCTTCAAGAACTACTAGTCTCCATAAATTATTGCACATTCCTTAGACATTTCTACATTTTCTCATTTTCCAGCTTTTGCTCAAAATGTTTCCTTTGCTACACATTTTCTGTTCTTCATTCAAGTTAAAACTTCCATGCCACCCCCTCTACTGATCCTCCTAGCTGAATGTCAACTCTCCTCCCTCGGTACTCCCAGATCATTGCCATTTATGGTACTATATCACAATCTACCTCACAGCGGACTTCTTTTTATCCATAGCTTATCTCCCTTCTGGACTAAAATCTCTGTGAAGGCAGAGGCCATGTCATCTTCATTTCAGTGTGTTGCATGGTACCCAGATGGTTGCTGGTGGTTCTTCTTTATTCTTGGAGAGGACCAAAATGACATCACCAAGTTTGGGTCAAAGCACAGTTTGTCTGACTGTGACTGATCGAACCAATACCAGCTCAGGTCTACTGCAGGTAAGGCACAAATATTCCACATAAACATTTGGAGTGGCAATGTCTCAAAATGTGTGCATCTCACATTTCTTTTGAGCTACTGAAATTCTGATTAGCTCATAGAGCACAATACCTTCTTTGAGATGAGCGTACCATGCTGGGTGGTCCTATGCCAGCATCTCCTATGTCTCACAACTGATTCCAAAGTTCTTCAGGAAGACACAGTATCTCGTATGGTTCCTCACACATAGCAGGGGATTAATAAATATCTAATGGAAATAACTCTATCCACATTCTAAATTTGGACAAGATGTTATTCAAACATGGTTTTACAATCCTAATTCATTCTGGGTCTTCTTCTGACATAAAGTAGTTGAACATATTCAAGTCTAAAAATATGTAGCCCATGGAGCACAGATGAAGGAAAAATCAACAAATAGCAGAACCACATACATACATGATTACATTTGATCTACAACATAGTCATTGTAGAACTCCTTATGTCAATGCTAACAGAAGATATATTGACAGAAAAATCTAATCATTCAGTCACTACCCTTCAAAATCCCTAAAATGGTGTATAATTTATTTCTTCCTGGAATCCTTTGAAGGTCCATAGCCTGGCCAGGAAAATACAGGATGTCATGGCACTGTGGCCAGAGGAACTGTGCAAATATTGACCATTCTAAGCAATCTGCCTTCAGAATTTCAGATCAGGAAAAGGTCTTCTACAAATTATAGGGCTGTACCTTCACCACTTAACACCCCCTGCCCCCAACCAACATAGAATCATGGTCTCATTATGTACAAGACCTGCTTTTAAGACCACATCCAAGGTGCTTTCTGGCACTAAATGTATGATCCTAGGAACCATGAAATGTGAACTAATAGAACTGTCTTTTTCAGGAAGACATAATGCTGAGAGTATTTCTGTTTTAAATCTCTATGTGAAACAGCATAAAGGAGCAGAGGTCTCCCATACTTACTGCAGCAAAGGTCTAAGAGAGACACCAGAATGAATGATAACAATACTAACCTCCTTTTTAGGATGAAAGAGAGAGAGAGAGAGAGAGAGAGAGAGAGAGAGAGAGAGAGAGAGAGAGAGAGAGATCTTGCCAGGGAAACCAGCAGAACATGTAAATTGCTGGTAAACCTCTCCCAGCATTCAAGCCTGCAATGTTCCAGGGCTATCTGAAGCCTGCAGCGCTCAGTACTCCGAACATGGCTGCTCCAGGGAGCTGGAGCCCTTCAGTACCTCCTGAAAAGGAGGAGAGTGAGAAGGAAGAGAACAGAAATGGTCAGGCAATAGAGCACACTCCATTGAAGCCTGAGGGTCAGAGCACTCTGATCAAGTTTGATCCAGTAGGCCTGGAGACTAAAGCAATCTGATCTGGGATGAGCCTGTGGGGCCTAAAATCTACCGGTGCTCTGAGTGAAGACACATTAAGACAGGTAGAAGTCATCTGGAGAAGCTCGGGAAGTTGAGGTTACAACTGAACGAGACCCAATCACCCAATCTTAGAGTATGAGAGATGGCAGGGCCGGGTTCTGGAACAGATTCCCAAACAAGGAATAGGGCTAGAGATATTAGTAATAAAAGACACTAGATATAATGAAGAAATGCTATGGGGCAAAAGACACCCAAGGGGTAAGCCCAGAAGCACAAAAGTAACTTTACAAGTACAAGCAGAGACTCAGATTAATTTTTTTTTAATGTTTGGTCACAACGATGCCAACAGTGGCTGAAAGAAATGAAGGGAGAGACTTTGAAAAAAAAATGACAAAAGTGTCCGAAAAGTTTTAATGCAGTCTACACTAAGTACAGTCAGCTTGTGACCAAGCCATATTAAAGCTTCAAAATGCTCTAAGACTTTTGGGACATCTGTATAATTGAAACAAGAGTTCTGGAATAAAGAACAGGGAAAAGAATACATAATTTACAACACATGGTGAAAAATTTTACTCATGTCATAGACTCCCAGAAAATTAGGACGGGGCAGAAAGAATCCAATGAAGCAAGAAAGATTAGAACAATAATCATCATCCTTACATTTATATAGCGCTTTCAAGTTGGCAAAGCACTTCATATGTATTATGTGACTTGATTCTCACAAAAGCCCTGAGCACTTGCTGTTAGTCACTGTTTTTCACAGACCAAGGAGACTGAAAGACTTGCCCATAATCACAGCTGGGACATGCTGGAGATAGGACTTGGACCCATGTGTTTCTGATTCCAAGCCCATCACACTAACCATTGTGCCACCTCATGTCCTTCTATTGGAAGATAAACATAAGTTGAAGAAAATGCAAGGCATCTACTATCAAAAACAACTGATCTGGAATATAGTGGAAGGAGAGATCATTGAACAGCCAGTCTCCCTGCTAACCACATCCAAACCAAAAACCTGGAGATCATATTTCAAGAAATCAAAATTAAAACTTTCCAGATCTATTAGAACCTGAGGAAAAGGGCGGGGAGGGGGGGCAGAGAATCCACTGGTCACCTCCTAAACGTAACTATCGCTTTGGAAAGAACACAATTGGAGAAGACTTAAAAACACAGATTAATGCAATGACCAATCACAATTCCAAAGAGCCAATGGCAAAGTATACCTCTCATCCACTGGCAGAGAGGTAAGGGACACAGGGCAGAAGGAGACATACATTTGCACACATGGTGACTGTGTATTTTAGGGTGTGGTTGTTTTTGTTATTGCTATACGTAGCTGTTTCAAGGGAGGCATTTTTATTTGTTTGCTTTTCCTTTTGGAATATGAAATTTGAGTGGGACTAACAAATTAGAGAGAATGATGCCCCCACAAAAAAAGAGCAGAAGAGAAAAGACATATACATATGTGTGTATGAATGTACAAATGCATGCATACACATGTATGTATACATGCACATGTGTGTATGCATGTGCGCGTGTGTACTTGTATGTGCATGTGTGCCTGTATATTTACATGTATCTATATTGTGTGAGCATATAGAATTTTAAAATTCAATATGTGAACAGAAGAAAGTTGACAGGCAGAGAGAGACAAACAGGACAGTTTTGGAGCTAATGTTTTGAATATTTTACATACTTCAAAATACTTTAAATAATAGACTCATAGTTATATATATATATATATATATATATATGTGTGTGTATATATATATATATATATACATATGTAATCTACTTTTCTGGTCCTTTTTGTATGTAAATGTTCACATTATGTCAAATTCAGACTAATAAAATATTAAAATTAAAATTCTGGGGGGAAAGACATAATGCTTTGCTGGTAGAAAAAAATATTTCCAAAATTAACTCCTATGAAAAGCAGCCCCACCAATCCAGAGGTCAAAAGCACAAGTTTGGCAGTAAGAAAGCAGAACACATGTATAGCTGCATTGAAACTGTTTTAGAATAAATGGAAGATTTCATTTCTGAACCTCAAGTGACCTTCATAAGAAGGAAACCATATTCTGTTCCAAAATACATTTCTTACCATTTTCTTTTCATGTACTATACCACTGCAGTCATACTCCAAAACTTCAAACATCCCAAATTACATTCATTTCTGTCCTCTCTCCACTGATTCCTCCAAGGCTTGGTAAGTCGTTCCATGGAATTTTTGTAGCCAAAAATATCATGTGCCTAGTGGCCAACTTTTAGTTGATGACCATCTCCAAATTTAGTCATGCTGGTCCTTGGACAATAAATATACAATCCTTTGAAAGATTTGCCACCCAAAGTCTCTCTATGTTAGTGGAAATGACCAGCGATTTTGCTCTGTGTGTAGGAGCTGGATGACCCAAGCCCTAGGTCATTAACCCACATCATAATGAGCATCACAGTCATAACAGTAGCCTAGCTAGCCTACTCTAGCCCTCAGTTGACCAGCTGTTCGGCTTTGGAAAAGACGTCAGAGGCCAAAGATAAGTAAGTAAGAAGGACCTCTACAATGTACCCAGCAAGAAGGTAACTAGCTTTTCTTAAATCCTTCTGTTGTTAGAGAAGCTTCTAGCTAGCTGTAACAATCTAATTGTTAAGGAGATTTAACAAAAAATTAAGACTGTCCTTTTTTTGTAGCAGCCAAATAAGGTTCTTAGTTCTTCCTTCTGGAACTAAAAAAGATCAAACAAAATTCTGTGGCTCTACAACAGCTTTTAAGTCTACAAAAATAATTATCCTATCCCTCCCTCAAAAAAAAAAAAACCCACAACTCTTCTCCAGGAGAAATATCCCAAGATTTTTATCTAATTCTTTTTTTTTTTGCTAGTCAATGGTGTTCAGTGACTTGCCCAGGGTCACCCAGCTAGTAAGTGTTGTGTGTCTGAGGCTGGATTTGAATTCAGGTCCTCCTGAATTCAGAAGTGGTGCTCTATCCACTGCGCCACATATCTTCCCCTCATTTAATTCTCATAGCATGATCTCAAAGCCCTTTGTCATCCTGGTTATCCTACTGTGGACTGTCTTCCTAAAATATGGTAAAATATTCCTAAAATATACCTCCAGCTAGGTGGCTCGATGGATAAGGTGCCAGGCCTGGAGTCAGGAAGACTTATCTTTCTGAATTTAAATCTGGTCTCAGACACTTACTAGCTGTATGACCCTGGGCAAGTCATTTAACCCTGTTTGCTTCAGTTTCCTCACAGGTTAAAAAAAAAAAAAAGCTAAAGAAGGAAATGGCAAACCACTCCAGTATCTTTGCCAAGAAATCCTCAGATGGGCCCATAAAGAGTCAGAAATGACTGAAATGACTGAACAACTACAAAAATACCTCCCTAAAATGAACTAGGTACTTCAGATGTGCTCTAATATGATGAGACTATTGTTTCCCTAATATAATACACTGGTGGTATCAAACTCAAATAGAAAGGGATCCCTGAAGCCCACATATTGACTTATAAGATCATAGATTAACATTCTCTATGCTTTATTGCATTTGTATTATTTTGTTAAACATTTCCCAATTACATTTTCATTTCGTTGAGGCTGGATTAAGGAGTTCACTGGGCCATGAGTTTGACCCATCTGCTATACTCCATGATGCAATCGAGATTGTTTTCGCTTTTCTGGCCTTCCTGTTACACTCCCATTGAGCCACCAAAATCCTAGCCTTTTATCAGACCAACAAATGCCTATTCCTCCATCATCTTATCCTTCACAAAATCAACCTCACAAGTATAAAGCTTTACATTTATCCCTGTGAGATTTCATTTCTTTAAATTCAGTCTGGAGTTCTAACCTATCAAAAACATTCTATCCTGGTTGTCCAACAGTATAGTAGCCATCCTGCCTAACTGTGGGTCATATGCAAATTAGTATACATCATCTCTGCCTTTATCCAAGTCCTTTCAAAAATGTTAAACTACATGGGGCCAAGGAGAGATTTCTGTGGCACTCTATTAGATTCTGCCTCCTAGGCTAACTTTGAACCATTTATCATGGCTTACAGTGGGATCACTCAACCATCTCCAAATCCAACTGTCCTTCCATTTTGTTTAGAGGAATAGCAAGGAAACTTTATCATACACTTTACTAAAATCTAGGAAAACTGTATCAAGAACAGTCTGTGGTAGAAAGAGCTTTAGATTTGGAGAGAGAAGACCGGAGTTCAAATCTAGCCTTTGTCACTTATTGTACATCAATTGGCAATTATTTATTAAGTTCCTACTATACAACAGCACTGAGTTAGGTGATGGGTATGCAAAGACAAAAGGAGAGAAAAAAAGTAAACCAAATGTCCAGTGTAAAGGTCACTGGCTAACCTCAGAACAAGGCTTTAGTCACTCAAGGAATTTTGTCCTCATGAAATAGGGGATAAAGAAAGAAAAAAGCCAGATTCTGACCCTAGAAAATAATTCTTGAATCCAGTTCTAGCCCACAGGTGCTTATTAAGCTCTTCCTATGCACAAGGTACCACACAAGGTCCCAGTGATACAAAGACAAAATCCAAAACAGTCTCTGCCCTCACAGGATTTATTTAACTTCTCTTGTGTATGAAAAAGTGAAATGTTTCCTGAGCTGAGTGACCTAAAGAAGACATCACAGCCCAAAAATGGTCAGGTGTTTACATGCTAAGGAGAAAATATGTACATACAATAGCAGTAATACCTGACATTTATACAGGTTTGTGAAGGATTTTACAAACATTATATATTTGATCCTCACAACAACCCTGGGACACAGGTGTTAGGATTATCCCCATTTTATGGATGAGGAAATGGAGGCAGACAGAGCTTAAGTGACTTGCCTTGGGTCACACAGCTAGGAAGTATCTAAAGCTAGATTTGAACTCAGGTCTTTCTAACTCCAAGGCCAATGTTCTATTCACAGGGCAGACTAGCAACTAAATAAATACAAGATAATTGGTGGGGAGGAGAGGAAGCACTAATAACTGGGAGGATCAGGAAACAGGTCATGTATCAAATGACTCTTGATCAGAGTTTTGAAGGAAGCTGGGAATGCTAAGAACTGAAGGTAAGGAGAAGATCCACTCTGATAATGGCATATAGCATAGTCTGTGCAAAAGACGAGAGATAGAATATTGCGGGTGAGAGCCGCAGGAAGGTCAATTTGGCAGGCCTGAAGTCCATATGAATGGGGGGTCAAAGGTAACAAGGGCAAAGGCGGGATGGAGCCAGATTGTGAAGGGACTGAGATGCAACAAGAGTCTGTGTTTGATCCCATTTGCCACGTGGAACCACTGGAGTATCCTGGCTAGGGGAGTTCCATGATCAGAGCTGCACTTTGAGAAAATTGCTGTGTAATCAAGAGGTCAGACAAAGCAGAAGCAAAAATAGACCCAATTAAGAGAGATGAGCAGGGAAACTGTGTTTTGCTAAAAGATATCATAGATAATGAATCAAAAATTCTATAGCAAATTTCTATGATAAAGACCCCATTTCTCAAATATATAGAGAACTGAATCAAATTTACAAACATGACAGCCACTCCCCAATTGGTAAACAGTCAAGGGATATGAACAGGTAGTTTTCAGAGGAAGAAATCAAAGCTATCTCCAGCCACATTAAAAAAAAAATGCTCTAAATCACAATTGATTAGACATGCAAACCACCTGACACCTATCAGAAATGGCAAATACTGGAAGGGATAGGGAAAATGGATACACAATTGAACTTTTGGTGGAGGTGTCAACTAATCCAACCCTTCTGGAGAACAATTGGGAACTATGCCCAAAGGGCTATAAGATTGTGTATGCCAGTTTGATCCAGCAATATCACTACTGGGTTCGCATTCCAGAAAGATCAAAGAAAAAGGAAAAGCACCTATACAAACAAAAATATCAATAGCAGTTCTTTTGTGGTGGTAAAGAATTGAAAATTTAGGGGATGCCCATGAGATGGGGAATAGCTGAACAAGCTGTGACATGATTGCGATAGACTGTGCTATAAGAAATGATAAGAGGGAAAGTTTCAGAAAAACTTTGCAAGACATATATAAAGAGATGCAAAATGAAATGAGCAGAACCAAGAGATTGTTGCACACAGTAACTGCAATATTGTAAGGATGATTAACTGTGAAAGACTTAGCTATCCTGATCAGCGCAATGACCCAAGACAATTCCAAGGGACTCATGATGAAAAATACTACCTCCAGAGAGAACTGATGAACTCTGAGTACAAATTGAAATATACTTTTCTCACTTTATTTTTCTTGCTCTTTTGCAGTGTTACTAATATGGAAATATGTTTTGTATAATTTCACTCGTATAATTGATATATTGTATATCTGGGCAAAGGAGGGGTGGGAGTGATAAAGAGAATTTAGAACTCAAATTGTTTTAGATGTTAATAACAATAAGCCACAAAAAAAGTAAATTTATTTGGCTAATGATGGGAGGACAGATTGGAGAGGACAGAGCCTTGAGGCAGGGAGACAAAAATAGGAAGCCTTTGCAAAAACCCAGAGTGGAGGTGATTGGGGTCTGAGTGAGGGTGGTGACTATGTCAGAGGAAAGAAGAAGACATGTATGAGAGCTGGTATAAGGTGATTATGACAAGACTTGGCAACAAGTTGGTTATGTGGAGTGTGGGCCAATGGGAAACTGGGGATGGGCAGCCTTGAGCAAGTTATTTAACCATCCTTGGGTCTGAGCTCCTGATCTACAAAATGAGGGGATTATAATGATTTTCCAGGTCCATTCTAGCTATAAATCCATGCTGCTATGATCCCCTGATCAACCAGTCTGAATATCCCATTAAAAAAGGACTTTAATGTGATACAATGTGTTCCCATCAATTTATGCTTCTATTTTGTGATCTTTAGTACTATTAGCATAGTACTTTGTATATACCAAGTAACTAATAAATGGTATTTTCCTTCATTCATCCACCCACCCATTCATTCAACACTCTTCTTACTAAATTCTCATGAGAGCCAGATGCTGCTTGGTTGTATAGTAGAGTGTTGGAAGCTGAATGAAGAAGCCCTGAATTCAAATCCAGCCTCATACTTACACCTCTTGACCTTGAGCAAATCACTTCTCCTTGACTCAGTTTCCTCATCTAAAAATGGCAATAATAATAGTGCAAAAATGCAAATGAATAAATGAAAAAGTACAAATAAAAAAGTGCAAAAATAGTGCAAAAAGGGTTGTTGCAAGATAAAATGAGATAATATTTATAAAGCACTTTGTAAACATTAAAGTGATATATAAGCGATATCTATTATTCTTACTTTTTAATAATACATTCCAGAATTTTCCCAGGAATATGAGTCCAACTCATGAACCTAACTTCCTTTGTGGAAACTGTGAGATTTTCCCTTTTCAAGGTTCATGACATTTCTGTCATCTGTGTTTTCAAAGGCAACTAAAAATGATTCAGCAACCACCTCTATGAGTTTGGTTTGGTTTCAGCTCTTTGCTCCCTCCCCCACCCACCCACCCCTAGCCCAGCACCCTGGGATACTTATCATTCACCCAGATGACTTGAATTTCTCAAGAGCACCTA